TAACATGTAAACTCACTGAGCAGGGCCCTCAATCCCTCTGTTACTGTGTCACTATACCCCACTCCCTCTAACATGTAAACTCACTGAGCAGGGCCCTCAATCCCTCTGTTACTGTGTCACTATACCCCACTCCCTCTAACATGTAAACTCACTGAGCAGGCCCTCAATCCCTCTGTTACTGTGTCACTATACCCCACTCCCTCTAACATGTAAACTCACTGAGCAGGCCCTCAATCCCTCTGTTACTGTGTCACTATACCCCCCTCCCTCTAACATGTAAACTCACTGAGCAGGGCCCTCAATCCCTCTGTTACTGTGTCACTATACCCCACTCCCTCTAACATGTAAACTCACTGAGCAGGGCCCTCAATCCCTCTGTTACTGTGTCACTATACCCCACTCCCTCTAACATGTAAACTCACTGAGCCGGGCCCTCAATCCCTCTGTTACTGTGTCACTATACTCCACTCCCTCTAACATGTAAACTCACTGAGCAGGCCCTCAATCCCTCTGTTACTGTCACTATACCCCACTCCTCTAACATGTAAACTCACTGAGCAGGGCCCTCAATCCCTCTGTTACTGTGTCACTATACCCCACTCCCTCTAACATGTAAACTCACTGAGCAGGCCCTCAATCCCTCTGTTACTGTGTCACTATACCCCACTCCCTCTAACATGTAAACTCACTGAGCAGGACCCTCAATCCCTCTGTTACTGTGTCACTATACCCCACTCCCTCTAACATGTAAACTCACTGAGCAGGCCCTCAATCCCTCTGTTACTGTCACTATACCCACTCCCTCTAACATGTAAACTCACTGAGCAGGCCCTCAATCCCTCTGTTACTGTGTCACTATACCCCACTCCCTCTAACATGTAAACTCACTGAGCAGGGCCCTCAATCCCTCTGTTACTGTGTCACTATACCCCACTCCCTCTACCATGTAAACTCACTGAGCAGGCCCTCAATCCCTCTGTTACTGTGTCACTATACCCCACTCCCTCTAACATGTAAACTCACTGAGCAGGCCTCAATCCCTCTGTTACTGTGTCACTATACCCCACTCCCTCTAACATGTAAACTCACTGAGCAGGCCCTCAATCCCTCTGTTACTGTGTCACTATACCTCACTCCCTCCTCTAACATGTAAACTCACTGAGCAGGGCCCTCAATCCCTCTGTTACTGTGTCACTATACCCCACTCCCTCTAGCATGTAAGCTCACTGAGCAGGCCCTCAATCCTCTGTTACTGTGTCACTATACCCCACTCCCTCTAACATGTAAACTCACTGAGCAGGCCCTCAATCCCTCTGTTACTGTGTCACTATACCCCACTCCCTCTAACATGTAAACTCACTGAGCAGGGCCCTCAATCCCTCTGTTACTGTGTCACTATACCCCACTCCCTCTACCATGTAAACTCACTGAGCAGGGCCCTCAATCCCTCTGTTACTGTGTCACTATACCCCACTCCCTCTAACATGTAAACTCACTGAGCAGGCCCTCAATCCCTCTGTTACTGTGTCACTATACCCAACTCCCTCTAACATGTAAACTCACTGAGCAGGTCCTCAATCCTCTGTTACTGTCACTTTTACCTCACTCTAACATGTAAACTCACTGAGCAGGCCCTCAATCCCTCTGTTACTGTGTCACTATACCCCACTCCCTCTAACATGTAAACTCACTGAGCAGGCCCTCAATCCATCTGTTACTGTGTCACTATACCCCACTCCCTCTAACATGTAAACTCACTGAGCAGGCCCTCAATCCCCCTGTTACTGTGTCACTATAACCCACTCCCTCTAGCATGTAAACTCACTGAGCAGGCCATCAATCCCTCTGTTACTGTGTCACTATACCCCACTCCCTCTAACATGTAAACTCACTGAGCAGGCCCTCAATCCCTCTGTTACTGTGTCACTATACCCCACTCCCTCTAACATGTAAACTCACTGAGCAGGTCCCTCAATCCCTCTGTTACTGTGTCACTATACCCCACTCCCTCTAACATGTAAACTCACTGAGCAGGGCCCTCAATCCCTCTGTTACTGTGTCACTATACCACACTCCCTCTAACATGTTAACTCACTGAGCAGGGCCCTCAATCCTCTGTTACTGTCACTACTCCCTCTAACATGTAAACTCACTGAGCAGGGCCCTCAATCCCTCTGTTACTGTGTCACTACCCCCCACTCCCTCTAACATGTAAACTCACTGAGCAGGGCCCTCAATCCCTCTGTTACTGTGTCACTATACCCCACTCCCTCTAACATGTAAACTCACTGAGCAGGCCCTCAATCCCTCTGTTACTGTGTCACTATACCCCACTCCCTCTAACATGTAAACTCACTGAGCAGGCCCTCAATCCCTCTGTTACTGTGTCACTATACCCCACTCCCTCTAACATGTAAACTCACTGAGCAGGCCTCAATCCCTCTGTTACTGTGTCACTATACCCCACTCCCTCTAACATGTAAACTCACTGACTGAGCAGGGCCCTCAATCCCTCTGTTACTGTGTCACTATACCCCACTCCCTCTAACATGTAAACTCACTGAGCAGGGCCCTCAATCCCTCTGTTACTGTGTCACTATACCCCACTCCCTCTAACATGTAAACTCACTGAGCAGGCCCTCAATCCCTCTGTTACTGTGTCACTATACCCCACTCCCTCTAACATGTAAACTCACTGAGCAGGGCCCTCAATCCCTCTGTTACTGTGTCACTATACCCCACTCCCTCTAACATGTAAACTCACTGAGCAGGGCCCTCAATCCCTCTGTTACTGTCACTATACCCCACTCCTCTGTTAAACTCACTGAGCAGGGCCCTCAACTGTCACTATACCCCACTCCCTCTAACATGTAAACTCACTGAGCAGGCCTCAATCCCTCTGTTACTGTGTCACTATACCCCACTCCCTCTAACATGTAAACTCACTGAGCAGGGCCCCCAATCCCTCTGTTACTGTGTCACTATACCCCACTCCCTCTAACATGTAAACTCACTGAGCAGGCCCTCAATCCCTCTGTTACTGTGTCACTATACCCCACTCCCTCTAACATGTAAACTCACTGAGCAGGCACTCAATCCCTCTGTTACTGTGTCACTATACCCCACTCCCTCTAACATGTAAACTCACTGAGCAGGCCCTCAATCCCTCTGTTACTGTGTCACTATACCCCACTCCCTCTAACATGTAAACTCACTGAGCAGGGCCCTCAATCCCTCTGTTACTGTGTCACTATACCCCACTCCCTCTAACATGTAAACTCACTGAGCAGGGCCTCAATCCCTCTGTTACTGTGTCACTATACCCCACTCCCTCTAACATGTAAACTCACTGAGCGGGACCCTCAATCCCTCTGTTACTGTGTCACTAGACCCCACTCCCTCTAACATGTAAACTCACTGAGCGGGGCCCTCAATCCCTCTGTTACTGTGTCACTATACCCCACTTCCTCTAACATGTAAGCTCACTGAGCAGGCCCTCAATCCCTCTGTTCCTGTGTGTCTAGCTCGTCTGGTTACAAATACGTGTCTGTTAGTCCATCCATTGTACAGTGCTATGGAACTTGTTGGTACAGACCTTGAGAATATCGAGTTGAACAGCTTGGGGAGCCTGGCTTACAGATTCAATGTTGAGGAGTAGCTTGCAGTCATGTCCAAGCAAAAGAGCTCACTATGCTTGAGGAACATTGCAATGTATGTGCTGATGTGTTTTACTAGATCCTGCATTACCAGCAAGTTTAATTTTTGAAAAAAATTTACAAAAAATTCTATTGCCCTTATATTTCACTTTCCGCTGTGTTTCACTTAGCAATGGCACATTGGGAATAAGAGATTTTGGTTTTGGACTCTCACAGAAAAACTTGATGATGGCCTTCACTGAGCCAATAGAATTCTGTGCATCCGGGTCATTCACAGCCAAATTCAATTTATGTGAAGCTCAGTCAGCAAACGTAGCTTTAGGATATTTATAATGACTGGAAGGCCACCTTTCATTCCTGCCATTGTAGAATATCCATCACATCCTTGGCCATTTAATCCAAATCTAGAACATTTTCCCATAATCTGTTCTGCCCATTTGGGTGGGATCAGTCTGACATGCAAATTGACTGGTTCTTTTTGTAATGGCATAAGATGAGCTAAAACCATCTTGAGAGCTAAGTGGGACCGACCGAAGGACAAGCTATTTCATCTTGTCCTTTCTCAGTATTCTCTTGCACCTCCAATCCAAAGACTTTTTCTTTGATGGCAGCTATAGTCATATTATTTTCCAGATATGTAAAGCACTTTCATCAGCAACGACTGAAAAACATTTGACATGTTGATTACGGAAACTAGATCTTCACTTAATGTTTCTTCCCACAATGAGATCAATTCATTTTCAGCTTGAACCGATGTATACCGTGCGTTAACTGGCGCATTTTCCAGATGGTTCATCAGGAGGACCACATGTTCTGCTTCAATGTGAAATTTATACCCACTTTGAACATTCCCAGTAGTGTTTATTTTCCCACGCTGACCTGTGTCATGAGTGCTACAAAATAAGATCATGGACAGAATTGGAAATAACTTTCTTCAATTTTCAACTTGCCACTTTACAGCTCTGACTTTTTGGCAAACAATAATTGTTTCTGATTTCTTCCTGATATCTAAAAAGTGAGTTGCATCCACTCGAGCATTTTTATGCCAACGTGATGAAATATGGTTGCGTGCACATGAAATGTTTATACTTAGTGAAAGGGTTAGTGTCCCTCGATGAACTGGCTGTGGACAAACTGTGCAATACTTGCAAACTGCCCCTTTAGCCAAGCATGGTGAATAAAGACTAATCCACAGCCAATGGAAATAGCGTGGTCCACTCAAATCCTTCTTGATGTCAGAATTTTCTGGCGGTTTTTCAGTATTTATTAGCAGATTGTATTTAAGATTTTATTTTACCTTTTTTTGATTAATTAAAATCCAATCCAATATCAGTTACGGAAGCATCAAGGTGGCGACATTTTGTTGGAGCTCAAGCTGGAGCTCCAGAACTGCTTGTGTTGGTTCCGCTTCCTCTTCACCATGTCCAGGTTCTGCTCTTCCTTATCAGATTCTAGATCTAAAAAGAAATGGGGATCATTAACTACTCTGCCACCAAGACATCCGGGGCTCCTAATAAAGTGGATAACTGCACGACCTCCGGCAATAGCTGACCCCATCTCATGCCCCGGAACCCGAACCACCGGACCTCCGCCAGCTCCCGAGGTATTCCGAGCCGTGTCCCACCTGGGCGTACCCCTGCCCGCAGGTGAGCCCAGTAGATGTAAGAATGACCGATCAGCCAGATCCGTTGGCCGGGCCCTGTGGAGAAAACACAAGGGGGAAACCGATCAGACGTGTGGGCCGTACATAGGACCGAAACCTCCCCGATTCCCATCTGCCAATCCTCTGATTGGCCTGGTCCGAAAAACCTAAACGGAAGGCTTCAGTTGCAGCCCCAATCCGAAAAGAATGCCCCCCAAAGTCTGCACTCGAAATACCCAGTTGGTCGAGTGCCAGCCGAAAGACCCGGAGAAATTGGAAGCGAGAAAGGAAGGAACCATCCCCATGAATTAATAGAGGACCCTCCACACCCGGGCGACCAAGACAATAAGACTGAAAGGATGCAACAGGGCAGACAGCCGAACCAGGAATGGCGCGGAGGGTAACCCATGTCCCCTTGCCGAAGATGTCGGTTTCGGACCTCCGCACCAAATCCGACACAACAGACACATCGTTGAACAACAAGCCCCCCAGGATCCGTTTGCTAGGGCTCACAAGCTCGCCGATCCAAAGAGCGCCAAAAAAGGCGAACGTAAAAGCCACCTGGAACAAACGTGCCTCCAAATCAGAAAAACAAACCCTGGCTAAGACCGACGCAATACCTACCAGCAGAGCACCAGAAACCGGCCTCCGAGAATCCCGCAGGTGTGGGCCCTTACGCCAGCCGCACATCGCAAGCCGAACCATGCAGTCCTTGGTAACGTCGGGCACCTTAGTCAAGTTGAACCAGAAACTAAGACCCGATAGCTTCCCTGAGACCGTAGCCGGAGAACACCCGCTAGCCTCCCAGAACCAGAGCAACCGCAACATCCCCTGAACCCTTGCAGAAGTTGAAGCGAACCCACCTAGGTCCTGTTCTAAAGCGACCCAGTCCCCCCATGCCTTACCGTACCGAACCCAAGTTGCCTAAGACATAACTCTCTGGGACAGGGGAGGCCTTCCGTATCTGCTTCCGGCGCGGCCAAACGAAACACCTGCCAGTGGAAACGAGAAAGAGCATCAGCCGTGGTATTCTCCACACCAGGGATATGCACAGCGCGGCAAGTCACGTTAAAAGACAGGCATTGTAAAACCAAGCGCCGCAAGAGCCGAACCACCGGAGGGGAGGAGGCCGTTAACCTATTGATGGCCTGGACAACGCCCAGGTTGTCACAGTGGAACACGACACGCCTGTTCTTGATCTCTGGCCCCCAAAGATGGATAGCCACCACAATGGGGAAGAGTTCCAAGAAAGCCATGTTCTTGGTCAGGCCAGAGGTGAACCACGATTCGGGCCAAGGCTCTGCACACCATTGCTTTCCCATAATAGCCCCAAAGCCCGAAGACCCCGTGGCATCCGTAAACAGGTGCAGCACCGAGTTCGTCACCTCGGGCTGCTGCCAGTAGGACCTGCCGTTGTACCCATCCAGAAAGACTGCCCATACTGCCAAGTCCTCCCTGAGCACCTTGGTCAAGCGGACGAAGTGAGACGGCCTCAAAATCCCAGCCGTAGCGGCCGCCAGGCGCCGGTTGAACACTCTGCCCATTGGCATAATCCGACAGGCAAAGTTCAATTTGCCCAATAGGGACTGAAGTCGTTGCAACGTAATCTTCCGCAAAGCGCTCGCCACTCGCACCACCTCCCGAAGATCAGACAATTTATCCAAAGGAAGCCGACATTCCCCAACAACGGAATCAATCTCGATCTCGAGAAAGCACAGGCACGTAGAAGGGCCAATTGTTTTGTCCGGTGCCAGCGGCACTCCAAACTCGCAAGCAACATCCGCCACTGCTTGCAGAAGTTGCGCGCATGTTGGGGAGCGCGCAGGGCCAACGCATAAAAAATTGTCTAGGTAGTGAAGCAAGGAATCGTAACCGGATTCTGCTCTAACTACCCATTCCATGAAGGAGCTGAAACATTCGAAATAAAAACAGGATATCGCACAACCCATCGGGAGGCACATATCCACGTAATAATGACCTTCGAATATACAACCCAGGAGGTGGTGGCACTCCGGGTGAACCGGTAGGAGGCGAAAAGCCGACTCAATGTCAGTTTTTGCCATAAGTGCCCCGGGGCCAGCAGCCCTGACCATATCCACCGCCGCGTCAAAGGACGCGTAGGAAACACGGCACAATTCAGCGGCAATGTCATCATTCACCGAGCCCCCCTGTGGGTGCGATAAATGTTGAATCAGCCTAAACTTGCCTGGTTCCCTTTTAGGCACCACACCTAGTGGTGAAACCCTCAAATCGGGGAGTGGAGGTTCCCGAAAGGGGTCTGCCTTGCGACCCAACGCTACTTCCTTAGCCAATTTTTCCCTGACCACCCCCGGGTGATCGGCAACTGATCTCAGGTTCCGGCAGAAACCGGAGACCTGCCGGGCCCGGTGAGGGATCCAAAACCCTTGGCCAAAACCCTGCAATAACAAGGCAGCCGCCTTCTTATTGCTATAACGCTTTAGCCAAGGGCGCATCGCGTCGACGTCCACTGGCGTCCTCGCCCTTAGCGCCCATGGCATCTCATTTGTCGCCGGTCTTGCCACGTTTAAAGCATTTTGATGCTGGGTGGGACCGAACTTACATTGGCCGTCATTATATTGCCAACAGTACCCAGTCTTCCGCTGACTGGCCGATCCTGAAGATGAGGACCCAGCCCCCCCAAGAAAGGACGAAAGGCCCCCTTGATGCGAAGCCGGGCGGGTCATGATGGCCAACCACAAGCCGATGTCCATTTGATCCCAACTCGTGGAAGGGCGAACCGCCAAACGTTGGCGGAACTGTTCATCATACCGCCACCACCCTAACCCGCCATAAACCCGACAAGCGTTCCATATCATGTCCTGGTAGCAAAACAGGGAAGAGCATTTACTGGGAGTCTTTTCACCTATCACGCCAGCCAGGATAGAAAAGGCCCTAATCCAGTTACCAAAAGTTTTCGGAATCTTCCGATACCGAAACTTCTCTTTGTCTTTTTCAGACTCTTTAGCATCCGTATCCACCCGAGGAAGATCTTCCAAAGGGAGGAGGGAAAAAATTTCTACGAATTCCCCTTTTTCTATTTTAGCCCTCAAATCAGGCGTCAGGTGGAGGCCCAGGGGGCCTGACCAGCACATGTACGTTGCCCCATGCGCAGCGGGTGCTACCCCTAAACCCGAGACAACCGCGGCGTCCCCAGTAGCACTCACAGAGGACTCAGATGTCACTAGCGGTGGCGCCGAAGCCAGGGGGGTGGTGACCTGTATAGAAGTGTCGGGTACTGACGCTGCAACCCCCGCAAAATCACACCCTGCGCAACTAGCCCAGCCCGCCCGAAGTTGGCTATCCACGGCCACTGGGGGAGGGGCCCCAGGGCGAGATCCCCGCTCAAGAGTTACAAGAACATTCTTTATAGCTTGGAGCACCGAACCCCACTCTTGCGACTCGCGTGCGCCAGCGCCCCCCGGATCTAATCCGGCGAAAGCGGAATACTCACCGGCAGGAGCCGAATTCGAGGGTAGCAGCGGAACCGCAACTTGCGCACTAGCCTGCGATGGCCCCGAGGGAACTGCGACCGCAGGAAGCACCGCACCAGACACAGCGTCAGGGAACCGGTTCGCGAGCTGACCAGGAAGAATCTGTGAAGACAGGACAGGTGAGAAAAACCCTGCCCACCCATCCCAGGTGCTGGAGGACACACAGTAGGGGGGAGCAACCCTGCCAGATTAGTAGATGGGACAGGGGAACCAGAGAGTGGGACAGCCATGACAGAAGTAGCCCCAGAGGGGGCAGCATGGGCCCTAGGTAAAGGTAGAGGGGGTGAAAGAGGATGCAGGGGGGTAGGATGGGCGGATGAGGGTGGTGGGAGTGCGGCAGAGGCAAGCCCAGGGGAGACAGAGAGGGGAGGAGGAGAAGGGGGGGGCTGTGTGAAATGGAAGACGGGCCTGGCTCTGAGCCCCGACCCCCCGAACCCCCGACTGAAAACCCTGGCGGCCTGCGGCCTACTCACCGACTTTGAAGAAGGGCCGACTGCAGGCCCAACCTGTGCGCGCTCTGCCCGAGATCCACTGGGGGCAGAGCGCACATCAGGCGCCCGTCGCGCCGGCCGGGACGGATTAGACGACCTTGATCTCGCGGCCGCCCTTCTGAGGGCGCGCGAGATGTTTGAAGGAGGGACCGGACGGCCATCACCTCCCCGAGCAGCGGCCGCCAGACGGGCAATGCACGACCGCCTCGGGGAGGAGGCGAGGGGTTGCAGTGATGAAGTGCCGGCCGCGGCCGCGTGGGACCTGGCGCGCGGGCCGGCACTGGGACTCCCACTCCCGTCCCCCACCCGGCCCTCTCGCGAGGGGCTATAACGGGTGGGGGGACGCACCCGGCGGCGCGGAATTCCATGGCTGCCGGGAGGGGGAGCAGCTACCATGGAGGCACCCTGCAGCCTTACCAGCTGGGCCTGCAGGTGCCTCCCACCGTCCTGGAGGGCCTCAGCCCTAAGGGCAGCAAGGATGCCATCAATGTCCATGCTCCTGGCCGTGAGGTAAGCAAAGTAACTAAAGGCTAGCACAGTGAGGAATAGGACTAGTTACCTTGCCGTTAAATTTAAGATGGCTGAGGTAACAGACAAAATGTCACCTATTTATATAACCCCACCCTACTCCTTAGCTAAATCACACCCCCATACTTCCACCACACCCACCACACCCACACATGCCTCCTATCCGGCTAGCTTTCAGCCCGCCTCCTCCGGGCCTTGAACCACTTTCACTGAGATAAGTTCATGGCAGTAGCAGTCAGGAGGATATTATCCTTGCCTGCTGATTTACCACCCTCAAGCATTCACAACAAACTGAGGGTGATTGGAGTTGCACTGAAAGAAAATCTGTATATAATAAACCTCTGTGATTCTCGTTTTCTGAACACATGGCATCCCTGTCTGCTGTGCCAATGGGGAACCTTTCCCACATTGCCCAGAACCCAGCCATCATTAACCAACTGGTTATGCAGCCAGCCTCCACAAACACGGAATTGCTGTCCCTATTCCTTTAAGCCATTTTCATGTTAAAAGGATGTCTGAGCAAATATTTTTCTCTCCACATTAGGATGAGATGGGGCAGATGAGACTGATGTGGACATTTTATACTAATATAATCAGCCGGGTGAATAAGAGTCATAGTTACATAGTTACATAGTTACATAGCTGAAAAGAGACTTGCGTCCATCAAGTTCAGCCTACCTCACATTTGTTTTTTGCTGTTGATCCAAAAGAAGGCAAAAAAACCCAGTTTGAAGCACAATTTTGCAACAAGCTAGGAAAAAAATTCCTTCTTGACCCCAGAATGGCAGTCAGATTTATCCTTGGATCAAGCAGTTATTACCCTACATTGAAAGATTATATCCTTGAATATTCTGTTCTTGCAAGTATGCATCTAGTAGCCGTTTGAACATCTGTATGGACTCTGATAAAACCACTTCCTCAGGCAGAGAATTCCACATCCTGATTGATCTTACAGTAAAAAAACCTTTCCTTTGCCTTAGACGAAATCTTCTTTCTTCCAGTCTAAACTCATGGCCTCGTGTCCTATGTAAAGTCCGGTTTGTGAATAGATTTCCACACAATGGTTTGTATTGGCCCCGAATATATTTGTATAATGTTATCATATCCCCTCTCAGGCGACGTTTTTCTAAACTAAATAGGTTTAAATTTGTTAACCTTTCTTCATAGCCGATATGTTCCATTCCTTTTATTAATTTTGTAGCCCGCCTCTGCACTTTTTCTAGTGCCATAATATCCTTCTTTAGAACAGGTGCCCAAAATTGCACAGCATATTCAATAAGGGGTCTTACCAGTGATTTATAAAGAGGCAAAATTATATTCTTGTCCCGAGAATGAATGCCCTTTTTCATGCATGACAATACCTTACTGGCCTTGGCCACTGCTGATTGACATTGCACATTGTTGCATAGTTTGTTGTCTATAACAATTCCCAAGTCCTTTTCATGTGTTGTTATCCCTAATTCGCTTCCATTAAGGGTATACGTTGCTTGTGTATTCTTTACGCCGAAGTGCATAACTTTGCATTTTTCAACATTAAATTTCATCTGCCATTTGAGTGCCCAGTCCCCCAGTCTATCTAAGTCCCTCTGCAGCAAAGTAATATCTTGCTCACATTGTATTGTTTTACAAAGTTTGGTGTCATCTGCAAACACTGAAACATGACTTTCAATGCGGTCTTCAAGATCATTTATAAACATGTTAAATAGAAGGGGTCCCAGAACAGACCCCTGAGGGACACCACTTGCCACCTCTGTCCAGCTTGAAAATTTACCATTAATGACAACTCTTTGTACTCTGTTTTTAAGCCAATGTTCTACCCAAGAACAAGCATTTTCATCTAGACCGATTTCCTTGAGTTTGAACACTAATCTATTGTGTGGAACTGTATCAAATGCCTTGGCAAAATCCAAATAGATCACATCCACGGCAACACCCTGATCTATACTTCTACTTACTTCTTCGTAGAACGCAATCAAGTTAGTTTGACATGACCTGTGCTTCATAAAACCATGCTGATTTTTGCTGATAACCATGTTCTTCTCAAGGAATTCTTGAATATTATCCATTAATAACCTTTCAAATATTTTACCAGCCACAGAAGTTAAGCTCACAGGTCTATAATTTCCAGGCAAGGATTTTGAACCCTTTTTGAATATAGGAACCACATCTGCCTTCCTCCAATCCTCCGGAACACTTCCTGAAAGAAAAGAATCTTGAAAGATTAAAAACAGAGGTTCACTTATTTCTGCACTTAGCTCATGTGGTGAAGGAGAAGAGGACTGATATATTGGATGAGAGAAAGGCTAGAGTGTGAGAGAAGTGTGTGAAAATGGAAGAAGCAGAATTAGGCAGAGAGAAGGGGGTCTAGTAGAGTTGGAACAGAGAGAAAGGAATGGGGGGGGGGGAAGGGTTGAAATAATATGGGTACAGGCATTCTTCAATATTAATACATGGTAAAAAGCGTAAAAACCAATACAGTGTTTGGTAAACAAAAAGCCCAGCAATCAAAAGCTGTTGGAATTTAAACAGAGCTGATTTCCCCAGACTGTAAAAAGACTAGACCTACTTACCGAATATTCTGTAAGGTGACACATGCCTTCTCTGAGCCTCCTCTCTCTCCCCCATGCGCTGCTCTGTAGGCTGTGAGGAAGTGAAGAGTAATCCCATTCTCCCAGCGCTGGGAACAGCTGGTTAATGTAATGACTGCAGGACTACCAGATGCCGCAGAACCTCTTTGTTCCCAGCTCCACAAGGGAATGCTTCCTGTTAACCCTGTAAATTAGGGGCAGAGGGCAGTTGCCCTGCGGTAAAGACGGGTCTGGGAGAAAGGGGAGAACTGTGCAGTCAGTGCTGTCCCCTCATAGAAAACACCCCTAGACTGCGCCCCCCCTGGCTGGTGCGCCCTAGGCGGCTGCGTGGTTCACCTAGTGGTCGCGCCGGCCCTGCAGACACACACTCACACTCAGTGATTGCACCCACGGCAGCAGATATAAACCCACGGCACCAGATATAAACCCACGTCAGCAAATATAAACCCACGGCACCACATATAAACCCACGGCACCACATATAAACCCACGGCACCAGATATAAACCCACGGCAGCAAATATAAACCCACGGCACCAGATATAAACCCACAGCAGCAAATATAAACCAACAACACCACATATAAACCCACGGCACCACATATAAACCCACGGCACCAGATATAAACCCACGTCAGCAAATATAAACCGACAGCACCACATATAAACCCACGGCACCACATATAAACCCCCCTCCACCCCCCGCAAACACCCATGGTCACCATGCCATGCGGATGGTCAATCTCACTTTAAAACCTTCTGATTCCTGTACCTCTGTGTATCATGTAATCATGCGGGGCTGGTATCGCAGACACGTTGCATATCATCATGCTCTGCACAGGTGGCACAATTGGTTTTTACTGTTTGAAATCAGAGTAAATCATCCATTTAATATGATTGATGTGACGTTAAGAAAGCGGGGAATATGAATAGTTTCCACGTGACTAGCAGAACATTTTTATATTTCTACAGTCAACGTGTTATAGTTAGACTTTATCCGTCATTTACAATCATTGTCCTGTTTCCTCCCAGAAGTATTTGGAGAAGTGGGAATTTACTTTTTAGCTAAAGCAGAACGTACCTGATAGTAAAAGAAATGGCTACTAGATATAAATGCAGGAATCTTCCACCTGCAATCCGTCCGAGGGACAGGAACATTCCATCCACCTTAGCTATGTCTGAAATCCCCCAAGCTCCATTCAGCATTCTCCTGGCAGCAACGCGGCCGTGACGTGGGCAGTCGGCTGGGATTCTGTCTCGGAGGTTGCACTGTATTCAGAATATGTTTTGGGTTTTTATTTTCAGGAAAACATTCTAAAAACGCTGCAAATTCATCCTGTGATGTGACAGTTTCCATTAGTCACGGATGATGGGCCACGGGGTCATTAAATATTCATTCGAGGCCCCTTTCCAAACATTATACAGACAGCGGTTGTTGGTAACAACAAAAGACTAATAGCAATGGATTTTGTAAATCCCAGTATGTACCTGTAGCACCTGCAGGGCAGTGGTGCAGTCTGATCAGTTATACATTACGCTGCTGCCTCCTATTTCCTCACTTTAAACAGATATGTTTGGCAAAATGAACAAGTGTAAGTGCTGTTATTAATTTCACGGATATTGCTGTAACTGTGCTTACTTGCACATTTTTCATTTTCATTAATCAAACTTGATCAAGTCTATTTGCTTGTTGAATTCCAGAAGGGAATGTGTCGATAATCAGGAATCATTGTGATAAGGTACAAGGTCCTCATTGCTGAACTATGAATGCCCAAACAACGTTCCCGAGAAACATTGGAACTGTGTGACTGTTATTGTGTCAATACCGTTACGTCATTGACAGCTGTAAACGTGTCAACCATTATCCAACGATAGATTGTGATTGAGGCTCTAATCTGTAAAAGCTATAGATTACAGCGAGCGTAGAAGGAGCCGCAGGGATTAGTGATGAGAAAGGGGAGGTGCAGCAGGGAGAGATGATAATTGGTTTGTTGATTT